TCATGGATTCCACCTCTGAGGGAGACTGTAAGGATCAAATGAGATGCTCTATCCAACGCAGCTGCACTTAATTCTTACCACTTTATAAGCACTTAATGAATGTTGGTTATAATTACGTCCTCAAATTTTTACTTTTCTTTTTTTGGTACCAGGGACTGAACCCCTAGCCATTCAACCACATCCCCAGCCCTTTTTATTTTGAGACAAGGTCTCACGAGATTGCTTACAGCCTTGCTAAACTGCTGAGGCTGGCTTTGAACCTGCAATCCTCCTGCCTCAGCCTCCTSAGCCTCCTGAGCCTCTGGGATTACAGGGGTGTGCCACTACGCCCAGAAAACTTTTACTTTTCTTAMTTTCTAAAACTATCATATGGTAATAATTGACTTTTTGGTTTTTGATTATATCAATTCTCACACCTGTGTAGATTTATGTGCTCCCCCTCCCCCCATCAAAAGGCAGACACACATCAAGTTCTCTCTCGACAGATACTTTTTGGTGATATTCCTTTATAGCTAAATTCTCCTCTTACCCCAAACCCTGGTGAGTGGTGTTCTGTTCTTTTTTCACTACACTCTTAGAACCACTGTGTGTCACTTCTTTCACTGAGYCTACTAATACTGCTTAGATACATCCAAATTACTGCATTTATCAACAWTGTGCTCCTTTTTAATTGCTGGATAGTATTTTGCCACATGGCTATACTGTGGCTGACTTGCTGAATTATCACTTTTTAAAATAATTATTTCCATAAGCCAAGGAAGGATTCAGCTGTGCTTCACTCCTAGGTTCTAAGACTCCCTGGGGAAATTTTGATGATTGCTGAATAGTGTCCTGACTCAAAGCATGCAAGGGACCCAGAAGTCCACACATTCCTCATACTCGAAAGACATGGGAACCAATGCCCAGGGATAAATTGCCTAACCTCACACAAAACTGAATCTGAAAGCTGGTCTCTTTTTCTCCTGCCCATGGGAAACCAGGTCCTGGGAGGATTTCTTGCTAGACATATGCACCTTTTGCAGATGACACTTGGACAGGCAAGAGCTAATCCTGCCTGCCTGCCTCCTGGTGATTGCCCTTTCTGTCACCTGTCACTGGGAACACTGGGAGCCCACCCGACCAGARGCCAGTTTCCCTTCCTGGGGCTGCGCACGTCATCACATCATGCAGAACAGGAAGTGATAATGTGCACGGAGTTCAGCTGGAGCAGCCCTGCCCTTAATGGATGACAGCACTTTAGCAATCATTAACAGCCACCGTTGCAGGCTGAGCCAAAGCCAGACTGGCCTCCCAGCTGCTCATTTACTACTTTGAACCAGCTTCGCTCCAGCAAGATGAAACTGTGAATCACCCTCCCTGGGGCTTCAGGGTTCCTGTCCTCAACTGGCCCCAGACACAACCCTAGTTCCACATTAATTTCTCAGAGAAAGAGAAGCCTGGGGCCAAGGGGAGCTCACAGAGTCAACTCCAGGCTGGAAGAAATTTTCCTACTAGGCACTCTGTCAGAACAGGGCCCCCAGAAGTCACAGTGGGTGCAGAGCCACGMCCTCCCATCCTGGCCCGGGGCCTGCGGACCACCACCCCAGGCCCCCCACTCCTGAGCACCGGTTCCCTGGAGGGATGGCAGCTCCACTTCCCAAGAGGCTGAACTCCTGCCGCTCCATTGAGGGGTTTCATCTGGATCCCAAGCAAGTGAGTCATGAATGTGTGAAAACATGAACTAATATTCATAATCACTGTACAAGATAAAGAACTCGAAGGAAAACCAGCTTCTGTGTGCCTCGCCATTGCCATCAGGGGTGCACTGTGGAAAACACAGCTTCTCACCGGAATCCCAGACTTCATCTCCCCAGCCAGCCCCAGCCCTGGCAGCCCTCAGCCCCATGAATCCTTCATCCATGGCGTCTCAGGCACCTACCCATCCCTGGGATGTGCAGCCTCCAGAGACCCTGGGACCTCTGACTCAACTGCCTGCCTCCCATTAGGTGCCACTTCAGTCAACATCCACTGGTGCCCAGGCTGGACCTCAGGAGGGAACATCATAGTGTCCCTGTCCCTCCTCCCTCCCCCATCGGTCCCAAGAAGCCCCAGGTTCTCTCTTCCTCCACCACAGTTTTCTGAAGTATCACTTAGGTGCAGCGAAGCACGCCAACTTCAAATGTACGTGCCATATGTCAACCTGGGTGCGCTGGTGCAACCGCCACTCAAACACATAGGTTGTGTTTCTAGCACCCGAGGAGCTCCCTCGTGTCCCTCCTAGAGAATGCCCTCTCCTGAGCTGTGGCCTGAGATTCATCTGGAGTTCAGGTTCTTATTACCTCTCCCCTAACTTACTAAGTAATTTCAATAGATAAATTTTATTGTGTATACTTAAGGTCTACAACATGCTATTATGAAATGCACACAGACAGTAAGAGGTTGCTATAGCAAAGCAAATTAACCATTCATCACAGCTACGTGTGTGTGTGTGTGTGTGTGTGTGTGTGTGTGTGTGTGACAACAGCAGTTAAAGTCTTCTCATTCAGAAAGAAGTCCACACCCGGTGTGACTTCATTACCCAGAGTCCTCACAGTGCTCATCAGATCTCTATACCTGTTGATCTCACACACCTGCCACTTGGCAAATTAAGTTTGCAATTACTGACTGCCTCCTTCTCGACCCTGGGTCCCTGAGCTGACCTGTGCTGTGCTGCTGGATTCCTGAGGTACAGCTCCGAGGCCCATGGAGGCTTCAGGGCACACACCTCCAGCCTCCATCCCTCAGCCCTTCCCCTCTCCTGCACATCGTCCCCTGGTTTCTCTGGGCCTTGTCTTTCATGGAGTGTGACCAAATCTCCCTGGGCTGCAAGCTCCAATCCCAGTTTCTGTCTCGCAGACCCATGGACTCCTCACCCGGGTGTTGCTGCTACCTCTTAGATGCACACTATCGATCCTACTCTGTGGCTCACACTACATAATGTGCCAGCCACAGTCTCCTGTGTCTATATGCACTCTCACATCCTTGCTGTTCCAGTTCTTGAGATAGCTTCTGGAACTCTGGAATTTCTCAAATTAGCTTTTTTAGAAATTGGGGAAGGGAGGAAATGACCTAGGATTTCTTATTTGGCCCAATATGGGGGCGGGGGAATCATCACCCACTATCAATAGTATTTCATCCATGTAAAGACTCCAGAGTGAAAAATGAACATTGCAGAGAGATAACCTCAGAATGAAAGGRTCTGGCATTCCGTCAACACGCTGGCCTATGAAAAACCCACATTGCCCTAATTTTTTTACACTTGCTCTAAAGAAAATTCTCGTAGACCAACTGGTTCCAGGGCCTAAAGACCCCACTGCCCTGCACTCCCCAGTAGAGAGACACTGACACAGGAAACACTCAATGGGTGCTCAGTGCAGCTGCTCTGGGCACAGAAAACCATGGGGTTCACAGACAAGCTGCTTTTCAGCACTCCAACACGTGAACCCAACACCACAAGGTTGGTGGGGGGTGACACCCCAAAGACCAGGAGGACAGAGGACCTGGCCATTCTCAGTGGCAGAATCGAGAAGCAATCCCAATGTGTTATGTGTCCACATGACAACTCAAGATAAGCTGCAGGCTCTGTTGTTGGCACAGGTGACTGTCATTATCACTAATCTCAACCCTGCATGGTACATAATAACCAATCCTGAAGTGCTTATGGGGGTAAGTGGAGGCCAGAGGGCCAGGAGGTAGGGCCACCACTGCCAGCTATGCACGGCTGAAGAGTGAGCCAGGCTGAAAGCTCACCTGTGCTGCACCCGCCGTGCCAGTGCCCTGGCCTGGGGTCCTTCTATCCCCTGGAGGAAACGCTCTTTTCTGATTTGCACAAAGAACCAAGATTCTAGTGACCCAGACCCTGGATTTCAATTCAAGGCTCACAATACCTCTGGTCAAATATACACATACACATACACACACACACACACACACACGCACACACAAACATCCAGTGAATCCAGTGAACCCTTGTTCAGAGAGCCAACAAAGGATGCATGCAGAACAGGATGTTAAAAGTATTTAAGGGAACCACCTTAAATGACATTTCTAGTTCAACATGGAGGTGGGGCACACACAGCCACTCAGGAGGCTGAGGCAGGAGGATCACTGGAGCCCAGGAGCTCAGGGCCAGCCTGGGCAACACAAGGGACTCCCATATCTCCAAAAAAAAAAAAAAAAGCCATTTTTTCTTAAAAGTTGTATTATTTACAATGTTATTAAAATTCATTAAATTGTCTCTTGAATGACTTCTACCAAGGTTCTAGCTTTAAACATTAATCTTTAATAAATATCACACCCAGTTAATAAAAACTCATCTACTCATATTTGATTATTCGGGTTCTTCCTTATTTGTTCCTATTAGTTTAAAATAGTTTTATTTAACTTTAGTGAAAAGGTAGAGAAATCTATACTAAGCAGCATCTGAAGTGTCTACAGATATAAAAACTAAATCTTCTTTTTTTTTTTGTACTAGGGATTGAACCAGTGCAGTGTTTAACCACTGAGTCACAGTCCAGCCCTTTTTGTTTTATTTTGAGACAGGGTCTCACCAAGTTGCTTATGGCCTTGCTAACTTGCAGATGCTGGCTTCCAACTTGCAATCCTCCTGCCTCAGCCTCCTGATCTGCTGGTATTACAGGCACTTGGCTAAAATTTAAATCTTCTATATAGTACACAGAGCCCAAACACTCTTTGGGTCATCTGGTGATGAACTCATCCCCATTGTTGGATGAAAACTATAAATAAAATTCATTTAACGGTTCATTCAACAATCCTGGGTCAGGTTTGTTTGTACACCCTCAGTGTTTTCTCAGTTCTCAAATGAAACTCATGTTTTGGAATGATAAGTGAAATGACGAAACATTCAAAGCGAGGTATCAACGTGGGCGGTCCCTCATACAAGGCCTGGCCCCTCCCAGGTAAGAGGCCCCAGAGGATGTTCCTCCCGCTCAGCAGACATGTTCCAACAGCTGCCTTCTTACCTGGATGGTGGTGTTGCCTCCTTCCAGAAGGGCGATGGCCAGGAGGATGCTTTCATGGAACACCCGGTCACTGGACGCATTCATGATGAGGTCGATGACCAGATTGGAGGCCCCCTCCTTGTCAAGGTGACACTGAACCTCGGCCAGGCTCATCTCACCCCTGCTCATGGAGCTGGATCCTGAACCTCCCCCTGAGAAGACAGAACATTGCTCTCACCAAACGAGACAGGGTAGTGAATGAACACTTCTGCACGCTCACGCTGCCGGACACATCAGACACTCACGCTTTCCCTGAACGAGCTCTCCTTACCCTCTCAACACCCCCTGAAGGAAGTGCTACTTACTAACACAGAGAGAAGAAGTGGGGTGCTCAAGGATGCCCATCCTCCAGTAAAGTGGCAGAGATGGTGCTGAACTCAGGTAAATAAGATGAAGGAAAAATGACATTTCCTTCAAAGTCCTCTAGCCAGGACTAGTCCATTAAAATATAATCACTTGGGGCAGAATTATCAAGTACTGGTTTAAGAGATGGACCACACTGACCCACTATGAAACACTCCTAAGGAAGCATGACTGTAATGATCATTGCAGCCCTCTTTCTCCAAACCCACCATAGCCCCAGACTCATCTGGTCCATTCATTCAGCATGGAGCCAAGCACTGGGGACAGGGAGAATGGGCTGCTGAACTGACAGAAAGACCATCCCTATCACATAATGGGCAACTTGGAAGCTCCGTTTTCATACAGCTTCAGACCAAATGGATACACCTAAGAAAATGAGCCTGTGCCATTCCTTGGAAAGGATTCTGCATGGTTGCAAAGTATTTAAGAACATGCCTTGTATGACCATGGGCAATGCCACAAATGTTAGTGCACATGGATAAAGGGGTTGATCAGAATCAGGAAGCAGAAAACTGTCCATCAGCCCTTCCCTGCTGAGGTCAAGTAAAATGCCCTTCCTTTGCACTGCTTGTCCAGTAGGTACAAGGTGGAAATGGCCTGCACTATCTTCTCTGCTACAGCTTCTTACAGCTGAATCTGTCTCCTCGAATTCCCCCATGATGCTTCCCAATGGCCTCACCTATTGTCAAAGGACCCTACTATAGAAGGTAAAGAGAAAACACTTTCAGATGTTGCCCAAGAAACTTGTGCATGAGAACGACATGGGATTTTAAGGTTTGAAAAGCTGAGCTCAGGGATGTGCCAAGAGAATCCCATCGTTCCCAAAGTGCACACAGCTCCAGGAACTGAGCAGATAAACTTGAAGTTCCAGCTGGTGAGGAATCCCCACTCCCTCCCTAGGGGCTGCTAGGATAAATGTATTCAACCTGAAGCACAAAGTATCTCTGTGCTTTGCTTGCCCCATCAAGGATCTGAAGCTTACTTAACAATCACCAGGCAATCAGACAACTCTCATTGGTGCTCTGGGCACTGAGCTCCCAGATCACCCCAAAACTCAAAACTATGTAGGACCCAGCATGGCATAAAAGTTTTTAAAAATTTTCACTTTGATTGTGCTTACGCTGATTTGGAACATCTTCAAAGATCTGCTCTTAAGCCCTTTTGAATAGGAACCCTTAGTTATGTTGTCAACTCCCACAGGAGTTTGGGGGTGCACATGGCACGCGCATTGGAACTATATATGCCAGGTTCAAATTACAAATGAGCCCTCACGGGCTTCCATTTCCTCTGTTGAACTGACATAAAGACAGTACCCCTCACATGATGGGCAACTTGAAAGACAAAATGAGACGAAGGATACAGAGCACTTGGGAAAGCCCCTGGCACTCAGTAAGTACATAATACATGGCACTTTTCACCTTCCTGGCTGCCAACATCCTCCTCATTTTATGGGAAAACATGAGTCCTAATGGCCACAGGGAAATGTACAATAAAATCTAGTTTCTTGAGTCATTCAAACATCACCAAGAGGACTATCACTTGGGAAAGAGGGACAAAGCCTTCATCAATACTTAATTGCGGGGCAGGGCTATTTTTCAGGGAAACAGGTTTAGACCTCAGTTTGACTGCAGATCACAGACCAAACACATTGCTAAGAAAACACAAATCCATCTAGGTTCAACAGCAGCAGTATACATGCAGCTACTCATCAGCACGGTAGGCAGCCTACCTCCTCCCCCAGGCTTGCTGGGTCCTCCTGGTGACAGTGGGCCATTGCCAAARCTGGTCAGGCTCTCTCTTCTTCCTGAAGGTCTGATGTTTCCATAGTAACGGTTGACCAGAATTTGCCTGAGCGCCTCACCCTTGATTCAAACAGGATAATGAAATCAGGTTCTAGATTTAATGCATAACTGAACGACTAATACTCAAAAAAGAAAACAACAGCAACAACAACAAGGGGGTATTTGGGTATAATTGGCGCAGTTTCACTCCATGAACATAAATAAATGATTAATAAAAGCATTTGAAAACTCTGATGTTAACTTCAATATTTTCTCCAGAAAAATGGATTTTTTAAAGGACAGCAATCTAGAATATGACATATCTGAAGTGATAATCACACATTGATAAAGAATGCTAATTTTGAAGAGCAAATAACAATAATAAAGACGTATGGAAAATGTGAAAACACTGAAAATTCTACAGGTCAGCTTCTATATGCTGATATAAAAATGCTACTCCAACCACAGGGCTTCCTACCAAGGTCCCAAGAAAATACTAAGATACCASAGTAAGAGAGAATAAGTCAGTATAATGACATAAACCCAAAGTAAGCCTTTCTTACAATGATAGTTGATAGGCTAAATGGTAAAGAGAAAATAACAATATAGGGGATAAGTTAGTGGCAGGTGTCAAATATGTCAATCAAAAATAATCATCAAATGACTTTGTGGTCTGGAATTTGCTTTAAAATAATATGGGAGGAGAAACTAGGAGGAATATAAATAAGGTAAGTGGATCCGATTTGGCGTCTTGGTGAAGGTGAGTTAACCACAGGGCTTGTCAAAACAGTCTCCATATTTCAACTTCTTTGTCATAAAAAGTTTTGACAATATAAGCATGCAAGGAATACTGGACCAGGATGACAATAACTCTCATAACTCTAATAAAAAATAGATGATTGACTTTTTCATTAATACTAGGATGCTGAGCTAGCAGGGACCTATATTCTGATCATTCTGATTTTCAGGCATTTTCCCCCAGGGACTCCCATTCTACCTCCGGATCTTTCTGAAAGTCAAAGGCTTGGTGGCTTTCCTCTGCATTGTTCCCCAGGGACAAAGCGGGAAGGCATGGAGATCCTGCAGTGTGTCATGGAGAGAGGTGAGTGAGAAGTCTAGCAGAGAAAGGTGCTGAAATCTAGCAGGTCTCTAAAATAGAGACGCCAGAGCACTCCAGAAGGGACCTGCAAYTGTAACAGGAGCCAGTCGGATTTTTAGAAACCTGTTAATAAGCTCTGAGAAGAAGACCTTGGAGTCTGGAGACTCCAAGGGAGGGCGTCTGGGGAGGTGGGGCCAGGGAGGGAGGAAAGGGCAGAGGACGCTCCCACCCTATTGGCTAACAAAATCACCTAGAGTACCTGGCCATCCAGCTAGGTTCCTCTCCCTGGTTCACTCACACGTTGCTAATCAAAGATTTTTTCTCAGGGACAAAAAGAATGAGGTAAACAGGTGTGGTGAGGGACAAGCCAGGGAAGAGGGATGCTGAGTTTTAAACGAATGTGAAGAAAATGAAAAAAATAAATTCCAATTTTCCCTTCTCCATTCTGACCTGTATGTTTCTAAAAGTCAAAGCTGCCCCCCCCCCCGCAAATGAGGGAAACAGCTCATAAAACTCATTTCCCATCTGTACTATCAATTCAAAATTCCAAGACCAGATCCAATGAGGAAGTTCCTTGTAATATCTTATGCACTTTATTAAAAAGAAACTGTTTGCCCTGGTGGGGGAAAAAGCTTTCCTTACAAGATTCTTTGATGGCTGAGAAAACCCCATTTGGATATTGAGACACCTTTTCTGGTATTGCCTGCCATCTCAGGCACCAGGAGAAACACAACAAAATTCTCCTAAGTGGTCACTGAGAAGTGGGGGATTTAAAAGCTGGTCTTCCTAAGAGAAGCAGATTTTAAAGAACATTCAAAGAAAGAAACGGGGAAAAGAAAAAGTCAGCCACATGTTAAATACCAGAGATGAAAATGATTTCCCCTTTTAAATATATCCCGGGGCATCCAGCTGATGTTCTTGTAGGAAGAATAGACTTTAAGTTCCCAAGAGAGAGGTGGCTGGCCGGACACCCTCCCCAGTCGCTGGCTGAATCCCCGGGCACCCTGAAGAGGCTGTTTGGGAGGCAGATGGCTTCGATGACAGCTGGAGGCAAGAGTCGGGAAGACCACAGGGCCGGATGGTCTGATGAATGAAGTCTGCTGGGCACCTGCCCTGCGCCTCCTGCCACCATGCCACGCATGGGCCAGAGTGACTCAGTTAGGTTTCCACCTCCTGGTGGATGTTTTTCTCTTCCTTCCACATAGTGAGGAGGGGAAACAGCAAGACCTTGGGCAGCGGCATGCAGTCCGACAGGCAGGAGGGGAAGACAGGAGCACGTGGACGCCGAAGAGGAAGTCCACGTTTATGAGGACTGGATGCCAGGCTGCAGCTACGGAGGGACTGCACGTTACCATTCAGCCTCTCCTCTAGCAGAAAAGCCCCAGAAGTTGCCATGGTAACCAATGCATCAAATGGTACATCTCCCCCAGAAGAGAATATCATGAAACGTTCTCGTTATTGGGGGGGGGGGCAAAGAAAAAAAGGAGCACATTCCCCGCAAACTTTGCCCCCTCTTAATTATAAGGTCTCAGGCGCACAGTCATCTCACCTGCTCTCTGCACACACGCAAAATTTAAATGTATACAGAAGGAAAAAACCCAAACAAACCAGCAAGGGGGACTTACTTTTTTTTTTTAAATAACAAACGAGATGCTTTTATTTTCCTCAAAGAATAAAGATGGAAAATTGGAGGTAAGGAGGAGATTTGGAAGAGAAAAAAATGGCTAAGCATCATTATTAAAAGTTATGCAAATCCCTRGTGTGAACACTTAGGTTCAAGGAAAATTTCTGTGGTTGTTTTCCTTTTYCTGAGCCATTGGTTTAATTTAAGAAAAAATCAAAATCTGCCCAGAAAAGCCCTTCCAATCATCTTGATAAACATCACTCAAAAGGAATGAGCTTATCACAATCTACCAGGCTAAGAAATCTGATGGCAGAGGAGGGGCAAATGCCTTCCCAAATAGTGTCACCTCTAGAGCTTTAGCATTTGATTGTGCATTAAAAAAAAAAAAAATGTGGGGCTGGGGTTGTGGCTCAACAGTAGAGCGCTTGCCTAGCACGTGCAAGGTGCTGGGTTCAAGCCTCAGCACCATAAATAAATAAATAAATAAATRRATGGATGGATAAATAAATAAATAAAGGGKTTTTTTTAGAGCTAATTTTTCCCCTCCCCAGTAATTTACATGTACAGTATGAAAACAAATATCGGGTTTGTCTCCACTAAGAAATTCCACACATACTGTTACCTAAGACTTAGAAAAAGGAAAAGTTACAGGGAGTTTCATTTGGAATAAGACAGTGACGAAAGCCACCCTGCCACCCCCCTGAGTTTTTATTTCTATCAATTAAACCAGGGACTGTGAACTGTGTGGGAACAAAGCCACTGAGTTCACACAGCCAAGTACTAAGAAGAGGGAAAGCCATCTTTTGGGTTCCCAGGTCCCAGCCACATGCCTCCCGCAAAATGGGTCTTCTCAGGTGAGCTCTGAGTCTCTCACACCCTGGTCAGTGCTAAGGTGGCATCTGAATTTAAAAATACCTTGCTTTTTCTACTTCTGCTGTGAACAAGACAACCTAAGCATTTCAAAATGCAAGGCTGACTACAATCTGATAGATTCTCCTTCACTGGATGCCAGACGCTGTGCTCAGTGCTTTATGGATCAGTTTGTATGACCGTCCAAAGAGGGATGTAGACTAGTATCCCCTCCGTTTTGCACAGAAGAAACTGAAGCACAGGGAGGTTAACTAACTTGTTCCACAGCACACAGCAAGTACCTGGCAAACAGAGACTGGCATCTGTTTCTAATGCCAAGGGTTTTCAATACTCAGTCTCCTGAGAGCTTAGACCTCAAGGGACAGCTAGGTGCCTTTGCCAGCTACTTCTAAGACCTAGGATAGGACATCAGTGGCAGCCAGGATGGAAACTATGAGAGTTCAAGGTGCCCCTGGTTGATGAGCTGCAGGAGACACAGGATGCTGGAGGGGCTACAGGACTGTGCCCTGAATTCTGCAAAATGCAAACTTTCCCGGAGCTCCTCTCAAGCCACAGTCTGAGGAACGATAAAGATTRTTTCTCCATCAGAGCAAGAGAACAAAAAGGGATATGGTAGGGCTGGCCAGCGCATCAGTGTGTGAGCATCAGGCTGCCCATTTATCGCAGGTGTGAACTCTCTGGGACACGGAGGCCCCCAATTCTTTACCGTGGCTGTTCATTTCCTGACCCCATGATCTTGGGCAAGGTATTGAACCCATCTGAGTCTCAGTTTCTTAATCTGTGAAATGGGGATAAAGGTCATGGCATCGGGTCAGGGCAAGCATTAATAAAAACTGATGCATGGACATATGACGCCAATCTTAGTATGGTCATAGGCAGATGAAAAAGCTCTCACAAAACTGATTATCTTCCCAAAATGGATATGATGAAGATTGGTGCTGGTCCAGGTGCCGGTAGATACAGATGACTTTTTAGAAAATAGTTCTGCAGGGTGGAGTCAGCACTGTAAGAAAGAACCACCCTTTGGTCAAGACAGTCCCCTCCTAGGAATCCACTCAGATACACGCCTGCTCGGCCTCCTTATCAAATGAAAACCTTACAAGCCGCACATGAACCTGAGGACCTGTGTGCAGCTGTTAACTTTCGAAGACTTTCAACAGAAAACTCAGATGCAACAGTAAATGATGAAAGCCAGGAACAGAAGCGACATGCTTAGAATAATCTCAGAGAGAACGTGCCCATGTTTATTGGAACACGTGGTCCCATGGTTGAAGGAAAAGCCATCGGCATTTACAGCAGGGTAGTGTCACTATGAACTACCTTTGTTGTAGTTTTGTGTTTATTGTTATCTATAAAATCATCAGTTACTATAGGAAAAAAAAAAAAAAACTTGTTTAGACTCCACCTAAGTAGAAAGGAAAAGCTTACATGGTCCTTATTTAGAGCCCGGCTGGTTAAAGTGCCCTGATTGGGTAGATAATAGGTAGAACTGCTAGTTACTTTCACTTACACCAAAGGCCACAATTGGGCCAAGGAATGTTTTAACCATAGTAACAACAACAAAAGCTGACTTTAAATCTCAGGGTATGGCTGAGAGGGCAGTAAGGGTCAGTCAAGAGCTCCCAACGCAGAGGACTCGCGGCTACCTACCCTTTTATGGTCTTCCAGTTGTCTCAGGGGTGGACTTGATTCAAGCTCCTGCTAAGTGTGCAGAAATTTCTTTTTAATTATCACACTGAGGAGACTACCATCTTCACCAACACACAGCAGGCTCATACACAGCCACAGTCAGATAGACAGCAGGCCTCTTTGTGCATTTCTTCAAATACAATACCAATGCTAAATTATGTTAGGCCCAACCAACTCTACTGCATGTTTTAATAAGACTTTCTAGAAAACAAAGTCATCATCATCATTATCACTGGTATTGACCTCAGAGGTGCTTAACCACTGAGCCACATCCCCAGATTCTTTTTTTTTTTTTTTTTTGGAGACAGGGTCTCACTAAATTATTGAGACTGGCCTTCAACTTGCAATCCTTCTGCCTCAGCCTCCCAAGTGGCTGAGATTACAGGCGTGCACCACCATGCTGGGCTTGGCTATCATTTTTTTGCATTATGTTTTGCAGAGGTTATAAAATGTAAGTTCTGTAAGCTAAGGTATCATATTAACCCCAAAGGGGGCTGACAAGCAAGACTCAATCAGGCAGGCCTCAGGATTCAGGCATGCATTAAGGCACGGTTCATGCAGTACACACGCTTCTGGGTAGACGCACACACAGACCACAGCTCCCTGCAAGCCCCCAACAGACAAATAAGTATTCTAATCAAAACTGAGCGCAGAGCTGATTAGAATACGATGAACTGATCATTAGAACAATTCACACTCAACACAGCCATCTATGTCTGTGCTTCATTTTTAAGATCTTCCTTACGCGACTTTCCAACAAAGTGCATCTCATTCTAGCTAGAGCTCCTGTGATCTTCAGTTTCTGAAAGCAAATTCTGATACCCAGTAAACACGCGCCCCCCCCAGAGCTTCTCTTTGATCTTGCACACTTCAACACATTCTAGCCCCTCGTCTAGTGCGCAGCATTGGCGGCAGGAAGGACAGAACAGAAAGGAGGTGTTGGTTGTGAAACTACAACTTTCTCCGTGGTTTCGACTCCGACTATAAATCAATATCCAGAATTTCAAAACCAGATCATCTTTGTACAGGGTCCAAAGTCAATTCTGTGTGACAAGAGAAARATCTCATCGTCCCAGAATTTCTCAATGGAACACCTCAACGGAGGCGGTTCTGTGTGAAGACCTTCCAAGAGGCACATTCATTCCCCACCTGGAGGACACTTGGCACAAGGTCCATCTCTGGGGGCCTTTCTTTCCACACTGAGAGTCCCATCCAGCACAGTCATGATCAGTTCCCTCCCACGCCTACCATGGAGACAGACATCCCCCTTGAAATTCAGACACGCAGCCAGGACAACCCAGAAGCACCCGTATTTGCTGGCACAACCAATACAGGTGAGCGACACACCTCTGTGGCGTTCTCGGATTCCGGAGCTTGTGGCAGCTGGTTGGGAAGAAAAGGCAGTGCGTTAGTCAGGGCGCCTGCATCTCACGGGCCCGCAGAGAAGGGCAGAGACAACATTGCAGGACGAGACACATGGCGAAGACCAAAGATGAGGTGTTCCCGCTGCATGGCCCACCCCGGTCACTCGGGTCACTTGCTCTTTTCAACTGAACGTGGTTGTGCGGGAATAGATGACCAGCCCGAGAGGGGGAACACATTCAAAATGAGAAATTAAAAAATGTGTACTGCTGACCAAGAAGGAACGAGTCTTAAAAGGCCCCTGAAGAAGAACCACACACATCAAGGCTCAAAGGGAACAAGGCAAACCACACTGTGCACACCCACGGTGGCTCATGGAAGAGAGGAATGGGCGGGTGACAGGCGGCCAAGAGCTTGCAACAGTGGGCACTGCTGCTCCTCGGGACRGGGGTCTGTGGAGGGCTTCTGCTCTCTGCCCTCTCCCCTTTCCCACCTACATGCGGTGGAATGTGTTGCCCGGGCTCAGGGCACAGAGAGTCCCCTGCAGTGTCTCTGGGAGAAGGAGGAGAGGCTGGGATCCAGGGTACTTCGTGCACACCCATCCCCTCTGCCTGTTTTCCTTGGGGGCCTCATGGGCTGGGTTCCTCGAACCCTCGCCTGCCTTACCACAGAGACAGCCACCCCGCTTCCACCGCTGCCTCCTTATCACAATTTTTAACCCACAGAGGAGAGAAGGTGCTGGCAGGGACCTGCAAGTGACCTCGGAGGAGCATCTGGTAGCTCTAAGAAAAACGTCCACCACTGCATGTTGGGACAGCGCCACAAGTCTGGCCAAAGGACACGTGCCCAGGGAGGGAGCTGATGTGGGGTGTGACTGCCACACTGTGCACGGACTGCCCCAGACCCAAGCCATGCACCAGGGGCATGGCTGGAGCAAGGTGCAGGCTGGGGCTCTGGACGGCAGCCAGGGCGCAGGGTGCTCACGTTCACTGCAGGACCTTGGCCTCCGGCAGCCCTCCCGCAGTGCAGCGCAGCCCTCAGAGGCCAGTAGGTGGCTGCAGGGGACAGGCCAGGGCATGTGTGGAGAGCAGCAGGAACTGCAGTGTCACAATCCGCTGGCATCATCTTCCAGCTCAGGGCAACCCCAAGGTGCAAAAAACCCTCTAAGACCACTGTCACGTGACCTAAGAATTTCTGGTTTATTTTTCAACAGGTAAAATGCAGAGAGAGAGAGAGAGAGAGAGAGAGAGAGAGAAACCAGGGTATCAAAATTGCTTCAACAAAGTCAACCGGATGTTCTTGAGAGCTGCTCACTTAATTCTCCACAGAAGACCTTTTCTGCCAGAGCCCAGCTCAGGAGTCTCAGGGAGAAGAGTCTCCCTTGGAAGACCCAGCCTCCTGCTAGGGGGTGGGACCCAGGACACCAGTGTTGGAGGGAAACCAAGAACAACCCTGGGGTCAGTATTTCCTAAATACTACAAATAACAACACAATCCAATTCTTCACACTTTAGGGTGAAGAATTAAAACTGCCAACGTTTGTGCTTTCTGCAAAAAAATAATAAATAAATAAATAGATAGATAAATAAATAAATAACTGATAAGAGGAAGCAGAATGAAAGCCAGGGTCGGTGTGTTTGAGAAAACGGTATTATCTTCTATATTACATCAGCACACTCCTGCTGCCATAGGGATGGGGTTCCACGGACTCACCCGCCTAGTCCCCTGTCAATCAAAACCAAAGCTAAATAAAAGAGCTGGAAGTGGAACAGTGTTGCTCCTCTTTGCTTTAGTTCTCCTCTTGCCTGGGCTTTCTTAGTCCAACGAAGCATCTAGAATTCTTTCGCAATGATCACAGGTAATATATTCTTTATTTCCTAAACACTCTGAAAGTAGGGGCTTCTGATTTTTTTTTWATGATTGTGATCTTATTCTATTTCCTCCAAAATGATTGTTGGGCTTGCTTTAAAATGAGTTTAATTGATTGTTAACATAAACATTAAATTTAAAAATAACTGCATTTTTTTYCTCCACCTTAAAAACATCATGAAGTGGTTTGAGAGAGCAGGGGATGCTTTGCAGCCTCAGGAATCATTATCTAACCAGAAGAGTGATTTTCTTTTCTTTTTGATTATTTTTTTTTGATACCAAGGATTGAACCCAAGGGTGTTTAACCCCTAAGCCACATCCCCAGTCCCTTTTTATATTTTATTTAAGAGACAAGGTCTCACACTAAGTTGCTTAGGGCCTCATGTAGTTGCTGAGGCTGGCCTCAAACTTGGGATCCTCCTGCCTCAGCCTCCCAAGCTGCTGGGATTACAGGTGTGCACCCCTGTGCCTGGCAGGCAGGGAGGCAATTTTTAATGTGCTTCATTTGGGACACTGAATGGAAAAGTCAAGAGCACCGGTAGGTGTCCACTGACTGAGGACCATCCAGGGTTCGGCTCTGGATCTGTGAGACCCTGTGCCATTAGTGAACATCTCTGGGCTTCCACTAGTTACCTGTTCAAGGAGATGGGGGCAGGTACTCTCTGGGATTCCTTCCAGCTAAAATATGAAGTCTCGCTTGGTGTATTTTCAGTAAACTTCATAAAAATCTAACAGGCAAGTTCCCTAAATAACACAACCTGCTAAAACAGAAAATGCTCTAGGCATGGGAAAGACCAGATCAAACCTAATTTATATTTTGGTAAAATAACCAACAGTCTGTCAGGATTTCCTCTTAAGAGGATTTTAGCCTTTGAGGAACTATCCTTGAGGATAAAGTGATTTTTATGGCAGGAAGGTGTTATTTCGGTAAATAGAAGCACATTGATCAGCTATACATGTTCAAAGAAGACAGAGGCACCTGACACCTGAATATAATACATAATACCCAAAGTACAAGGTAATACTTAATAAATTAATTGAACTTCTCAGCACAGTCTTATTATCAAAGGTTTTTTTTTTTCTTTTTTATATGAAAGGTAAAGGCTTCAGTAAACATGTTAAGGAAGACTGAGGGTATGGGCATGTATGAATCTCCTATGTCCTGTATTGTCCCCACAGGGAGTGCCAGAGCCAGCCACGGTAGTCAAGCCAGCACTGCCTGGCATCTCCCAGATTATGAGTGATCAGCACCGAGCTGATCCTGCCCAGCTCTGACCCTGGAGACCTGGCATGGTCCTCGACTGCCTCTTCATGTTCATGCTCTTGGGTTTTAAGTCTTCCCCATGTTTTCAGACAAGGTCAGCAAAATCTAATTTCATAGGAAAAAAAAAAAAACAGTCCAAGTGACTGGCACACCTCAAGTCACCAAATCCTAAGTGTCATCTCGGTAATCAGGGCCTCCAAACTAGGGTACCAGAGCAGGACCCAGATCTGTTCCAATAAGACGCTGCTACGTTTGTTTTCAACATATAAACACACCTAATATTTTATCAAGGGATGCATTTCTACCGCACTTTGTAATTCTCAAACGAAAGCGAGCCCACATTTTCTGAATAACTATTTCTTGGTGTTTATAAAACATTGCCCTCCCTCACCTGTCCGTCCTTCCATCCATCATTTCAGGTATGTCACAAACCAGCACAGAACACCGTCTGCAGGTACCCTTTGTTCTCTGCTGGCCTCCACAGGAACCCCTTTACAGTCCCCAGGCTCCTACAATGTTCCTTCAAATGGAAGGTCTCTGCATGGACTCTCCTGGCACCAAGTGTGACACAGTCAAGAAATTTAACTGCGACAGGGCCAGATATCAGCACGTCACAGAAAATTTACCACCTCTAACCCTTGAATAAGTCTTCAGCTCCTTTTTTATCCACTTACAACCTCAGGAGAGGGAGATCAAGAACAGTGGATAAGTTTGCAGGTAGATTTAACAGGACCTGCCCTTCACTAGCCTTTGAAAACCCTTCATTAAGAGAACAGAAAGCTTTCAAAGCAAATTGAACCAAACTAGCATTTTACTCGAACAATTTCAAATCTTCACACCTACTAACATGATTCTCTTTAACTCTATTTGCTTTTAGAAACAAAAATAAGTTGCTCTGTTCCAATAACGTGCCCCTACCTACATTAGCTAACACAAGTTTCAGAGCTCGATGGTGCTGTTCGTATTTTTTTTTTTAAGGCATTGATTTGACTAAATGAGACAACTTGGGTTATGATGGGATAATCTCAGCGTTAAGACAAAAAGTCATGCTCACAAGGCCTGTGCGGGCTCTGCGGCCGCTTCTGTGCGCTCCGAGGTGAGCTTTCTCTGTGGTTGCCAGTGTCTGACAGTAAACAGCTCACTGCATTTATTGGCAATTACTGCTGAAGGTCACACATCAGCAGTGAGCCTAAATTCCAGGAAAAAAAGCAGCTCTTATGTAACTGCCACCCGAGTGTTGGCAGGTGCCCAACTCAGCAGTTCACAGCGATGTAAAAAAGTAGGGCACCTCCACCAGGGCAGGACGTCATGAGAACGCCCCCTGAAGGTGGAAATTCACAATTCTTATGGCACTCTCCTTTTTATTCCCGGCTCCGAGTTTGACCAAGTTCAGTGGCATCTTTGCAGAAGCAGCTGGGGGCGGCAGAAGTTGAGGGCTCAGTTGAAGCTGGCGGCCGCCTCTCTGGATAACTGGGAACGTCAGTCTAGCTTTTTTGTTGTGCAGTAGGCAGCCCAAGTTGCTAGTTGTCCCCAGAAGCTCCAAGGGACCACGATTCAATGGAGAGGACACCTCAAATGCAAAGAAATGGACACATGCACCGAGCGACAGCCCACACTTTCTAAACTGCCCATACCTTTCCAAGGACACATGGGTGATACCTAGGTGGAGCTTGCCACCTCTGCCTCAAGTCTGAGCCTCTCATTACAGGTTAGAAAAGTGGCTCCCGCCATCATCTCCTGGGGCTACCGTCCTACCTGACCTCCTGCGTAGGAGTTCCCAGACCACATGTTCTCACGGTTCCACAGACTTCTCTTTTTCGACATTTCTCCTGACAGCTGTCATTTTACACTAATTTGTATCACTGTCTCTCTCTCCAATGAAAGTGCAG